TACAACAACTGAAAAGTTCTGTCCACAATCTAAGAAACGGTTTTCCCATTTTAGAGTTTCTATAATGAAGAAACCTTTAAAGCATACTTTAGTTTTGTTTTTTAAAGCAGAGTAAGGTCTTTTCCAATACTTCTTTGAAAAAAAGAAACCCTCATCTGCCCAGAAATTCACCTGGAGGCTTACGACAAGGGTCCCCTACAGGGCTAGCAGCAAGGTCCCCCAACAGTTTCAGCAGAGCCTGAGCTCTCCAGAGCAACAGCATGACGTGTGCATGACTCCAGCAGGGACAGGTCCATCCCCTGCCTGACCTTCCATCATCTAAACTGATGTAATTAGCAGTGACAATGGGTTTTCCACCCTGTACACTGCTGCACTGCAATCTCTACCACAGGAATTCCAAAGACTGTGATGAGATTCCAGGATTTTTCAGAGAGATCATTTTCTATCTTTCCTTTCTAACTAGGTGAAGTCAACTTAATATACATTCTTGAAAGCCAACACAGGCAACTGGAATCAACAGCTCACTGAGCAAGATCTAGCTCTCCTTCTCCCCCCAAATCCCTAGATCTGATCGCAAAGGTAGATGGCACATGGGATCAGACTGAAAGATGAAACCGGCTGGTAGGAGCGTCTGTGGTGCTCCTTTCTAGAAGACACAGTCTGGAAACAGGAAGAAATTGCACCAAGACAACCATGAGAAGGATGAATCAATATCTCTCACCCCGTAACTCACCAAGCATGAACAAGCAGGTATTTGTTCTCGGTGGGAGGAGTGAATGTGGGCACCAGGGGCAGAGGTGTACTGACAGTCTGTCAAATAGTAAGACCAGACACCAGGCCACACTCTGCTCCTCTCCCACATACACTGGAGGCTACTCAGACATTATATTCACAGACAGACTATTAGGGAATCTCAAAAAGAGAGATAAACACACAACTAACAATCCCCAAGCACCTACGAAACATGGGCAGCATGAGAGAGGAACCAAGTGCATCAAACAGAAGAATTACTACCCAAGAAAAATCATTTAATGGAGCATTTCCAGAAGTGTGAAGCTATGCTTCACAGGATAAATGAAATGTATAGCCCAACAAAGAAAATAAAATTAAATTCACATCAGACTTCACCCTGGCAACTTTAGAAACAAAAGGTGACAGGAAAGTATCTTCAAAGTTGGGAAGAAAATGATTCTCAATATGTATTTCTATACGCAGCCAAAGTACAATTCAAATGTGATGACATTTTTAGGCAAAGACTTGACAAACTTCTCACAAATCATCTCTAAAAAATTACAAACAAAACAAAAATAATCTAAGTGAAAGACAGAAAGGTGAAGACTCAGGGGTAAACCAAGAAATCAGTAAAATTAAGTCCAAAATTAAATATTTTTATAAATAAATAAAAGCAAATAAAAAATCTTTTACTCAAAGGAAAGTGAAAGCAAACTATAGTTGTTTGTATGGTAGAGGGAATGATACAAATATCAATTAACTCCAGACATTAAGAGTAGACACTAATACAAAGAAACGGATTGCACATCTTGCAAACCACTGAAGGAGGAGCAAAGAAAACTTGAATAACCCAACAAAATATGGAAAAAGGTAATAATAAGGCAAATGAAAAACACAAAATAAGACAGCACAAGTAAGTCCAAACATTCCAGTCAAAACAAATATGAATGGATTAAATTCACCTATTAAAAGTCTGACTCACAGATTACAGACACAAAATCCAGCTACATATTATTTAAGAAAGATAAATCTAAAACAAAATGACGAGTAGGATCGAAGGCAATAAGCAAATAAGTGCAGTTTCACATTGCTAAAAGCTATAGCCCACCATGTAAAATAAATTATATAAACGTTTATATACCTAACACAGCTTGAAAATAACATGTACTAAGCAAAAACTGACTAAAATACAAACTTCACAGATAAAAGTAGGAGACTAGCATAATTCTCTCGAAAATAACAGATTAGAAAACATAATGACACAAAGGAACAAATTACATAATTAACAATCTTAATTATTTATAAAAATTCTGTACATACTAAAAATTTTAATCATACAGGGAATAATAACCAAAAATTACTATGTATTAAACCACATAGAAAATCTAAAAATATTCCCAAAGTAGAAACCAATGAGGCATATCTATTGACTGTAATGTACTAAAATTAGAAGTTAAAACCAAATGGTTAAAAGGAAAAATAAATGTATCCACTCTGAATTTTTAAAAAACAAAAAAACTAAACAAGAAACAAAGCAGAGGGCTTCCCTGGTGGCACAGTGGTTGCGAGTCCGCCTGCCGATGCAGGGGACATGGGTTTGTGCCCGGTCTGGGAAGATCCCACATGCCGCGGAGTGGCTGGGCCCATGAGCCATGGCCGCTGAGCCTGCGCGTCCGAAGCCTGTGCTCCACAATGGGAGAGGCCACACAGTGAGAGGCCCGCGTACCGCAAAAAAAAAAAAAAAGCAGAGAAGATAAAGTTTAGCAATGAACAACAATGACTGCAGAGTGAAACCCCTGGGATGTTACCAGAGATGGAGGGAGAAGGCAACATACAGCCTTAGATGTAAATATTTTGTTAGAAATCAGCTTTCAATTCAAGATGCTAAAAAAGAAAACAAAAAGAAAACTCAAAGGTCCTAGAAAGAATTAATAAAAATGAAAGAAAAAGTAATGATATAGAAAACAAACAGTATAGTTAAATAAAATCAAAATCTGATTCTTTGAAAATAATAATAAAATACACAATTTCTGAACTAAGTTTCAATGTTGAGGACCAGTGTACTCAAAAAAATACTTACCTATAAAATTGAACCGAAGTTGTTTTATTTAGTAACATCTGATAATTTAATTAAATGACAGATTCTAATATTTATTCCCAACTAATTTTGCTAAATATCTGTGAAAAATCACTGATTTTGGCATAAAAAACTAATACTACATTAACAGAGAGATAACTTTCCATTTGTTTTTTAAAGCAATTCTGTAGTAAATTCAATCACACAATTACACAGAATGTATGGAAATAAATACAAATAAAGAAAATGAACTCCACCCAATTCTACTGCACCAACATAAGTTAACCATTTATCAGACTGGTGATTATCCTTCTAAACGATTTTCTTTTCCTTTTTAAAAACTTGTTTAAAGTTCTATTATGCACTATTTATGATATAAGGGGAGAAAAAAAGAATATTACAATGCACACCTGCATATTCACTACTCAACTTAGGAAATAAACATCGCCAATACAGAAACCCTCTAGATATGCCTGCCCCTTAGAAGTAACTATTTTGATCTCATTGTGTTCTTCATACTTTACTGCATGTGCATGGACCCCTAAACAATATATCATACTGCTCTGTATGTTTTAAACTTTCATATAAATGTTATAATACTGTATGTATTCTGCACTCATTTTTTCACTTAAACAAGTTTGTGAACTCCAGCCATGCTGACATGGTTTATTAATTTTCACCAAGCTATAGTTTCACCATATGAATAATGAACAATTTATTCTCCTGCTGATGAACAGTCAATGCTGCTAAAAACATTCTTTGAAGATCTCTTGCGTACATAGGAAGCAGAACTGCTGGGTCTCAGGATGTGTACATCTTTAACTTTACCAGGTATTGACAAACTGTCATCTACAAAGTACAAGAGGTCCTGATGTTCTATAGTCTTATCTACACTTGGTTTTGTCGGACTTTAGTTTTTCTCAATGTGAAAAGTAATAAAATATCTTATTGTGGTTTTAATTTGCCTTTCCCTGATTATTACTGAGGTTGAACATCCTTTTCATGTTGAGACATTTATGTTTCCTCTTCTGCATATTCTGGGCCTCATTTTCAGATTAGAGCCTCTCCACTAATCAAAAACCTCTGCCTCAAATATTCTAATGAAAGACTTTAGTGAAGCCTGGTTATCTGTAGTGTGCAGAAACCATTTTTAACCCTTTCTTTTCCATAACACATAGTCTAACATGAAAAACAATGTCTTGGTGTACAGAGTATTCAGTGTGAGAGCAGCACTCTTCAATGTGTGTCTTTAATCTTCTATAACCTGCATTTTAAATGATCAGAATGCAAATGGAAGGCTCATATCTATGTGCATGTAATATTAGGGTACATTTTTCCAAGACTAAACCTAAAATTTTAAAAGCTGACCACACCTTCAGATTAACAAATCCTTAAAAATTGAAAGTAAATTCCTAAATGACCTTCAAAACAGATATGAACCCAGGGGACAAAGTTGACACAAACTGAAAACCAATAAACCCTTCTACCACAACTAAATAACTCATGACAAGTGAGCGAGAGTGTGAAAATGTGCTGGAGTGAAGGGAGAGGGTCAGTGGGAATGCCAAATGCTACCACTATTCTGGAATCCACCACACAGCAGGCACTCTGTGTATCAATTTCCTATTCTGTACAACGAGAGGGACAATAACCACCACACAGTCACTGTGAAAAGTAAACAAGATAACATACGATACCTGTATCTAATTCTATTTTATGGATGAGGAAATGAAGCAGAGAGAGGTCAAGTATACTGTTCAAGGTCACAATAAATGATTCCAATGTCCCAGTTCTTCACACTGCACTGTCATAGTCACAGTACCTGTCTAATATGGGTCTCATGACTGTTAAAAAGTATTCACAGGAAGGAGATGACTAGAAGTATCTCAGAAGACAGGAAAAGTACTCAGACCTTAAAAAAAATTAAAACGGGCAGATGAGAGATACCTTAGCAACTTACTCATTTTCCTTTGTGCTGACAAATACACTTTAGACATTAGCCATCTAAAAGGTAAAATAAACTCACTGCCAGCTTTAGAGAAACATGGCATTCGTGAAACCCAATCTGTTAACTAAGACCCATTTAACAGAAATTCTCTTAGAAATTATTTTGATACCAACAACAACAGATCTGACCAACTACACTCTAGCCAGGAGAATTCAAGAGGGCAGATACTGGAAGGTTACCTACCTACCGCAGGTGCATCATACTCATCACCAAGCAGAATTTCTGGTGCAGAATATGCAAGAGATCCACAGCTTGTAGTGAGCTTCTTCCCTGGTTGAAACTTGTTGCTGAAACCAAAGTCTGTCAACTTTACAAGACCCTGTTTTTCAAAGAAGACCACGTTCTCGGGTTTTAAGTCTCTGTGAACCACATGGAGTTTATGGCAATAAGATATGGCATGAACTATCTGAGCAAAGTACTTCTTGGCCAAGTCTTCATTAAGTCCCTCCTCGTGCTTCATTATGTAATCGAACATGTCTCCTCCATCTCCAAGTTCTAGAATAAGATATAGTTTGGTCTGGGTGTCAATAACTTCATAAAGGCGTACAATGTTGGGATGCTGCACTAGTTTCATGCATCTCACTTCTTGGAAAAGATGACCAGTGGCTAGACTGTCCAATTTTGTCTTGTCAATAACTTTTACTGCCACTTTTTCACCTGTAAAGACATGCCTGGCAAGTTTAACCACTGCAAAATGACCTCGACCCAAGGTTTTATCCAGATCATACAATCCAGCAATCTTCCCATCATACCCTCGCTTGAATCCTGCCATGCTGGTCCAACGGAAGAAAAAATATTTAGACTGTTTAAAATGGATCTTCTCATATATCTGGTGAAAATAAGGAATTCATTTTCAATGTCGCCATGGACATCTACAAAAATAAGAGAAATAAAATTAAGTTTTCTGTGACTTTTCCTTTTATAGCTTCATTTGTCTTTAAATTTTAAGAGAAGCTTGAAATAAATATACTGAGACATAAAATGAGTCAGGGGCATTTATAACAACCTATTTACATATTTAGGATTTACTTTATAAAGCTTGATAATTTAAATACCATTTCATTTTGCAAACTGATAAAAAGTTAGTTTGTTGAAACAATTTTTTGGTGATGTCAGAAATAAGAAAACTGGCAAGTTTGATAAGATGTGTTTGAAAAGAATATTTTCCAAAAGTAATTTCTATTACTGTCTTAAAAAAGAAGTCAGGGATTGACAAGAAAGGGAAAACAAAGAATATACACTTGGACAGAAACCAACAACTTTTTCCTATTATTCCAAATTAGCACTATTTCCTTTAAAATCTCTTCAATAAAGGCTTCTCTAACTCTCCCAGGTGGTATTACCTTGCCTTCTCTTCTCTGCATCTCCAAAGCACCATGGGACACCTCCATCCCAGGCGGTCTTATTCTATAGGTTTTTGTATACACCACCTTTATCCTGAGACTGCAAGGTTCCTGAGGGGTCTATGGTTCTATCAATATTTTTTACTTCTACCCTCCCCTAATGCCTAGAACAGTGTTTTACATACAGCAGGTAATTAAAATTTTGTTAAATTTTGAAATGCAACTTTTTTTCAAAATGTTTACAAGGCAATGATTTGCTCTTGCATCACTAGTGCTTAGAACAGTAAGTGGCACACAGTAGGTGCTTATTATTTGCTGACTGACTGATACTCACTCTTCGTGCTTATCAGTTATGCTTATCTTTATTACGGTTTTCCAACTCTCAAACAAAACCTACTATGATCTGCTTATATTTCAAGAACAGACAAGCATGCATTTAAACCATTTAACTGTTAAAGACCATTTGGCTTTAAAGACCTCATTTCATACGGAATTTAAAATTCTCATCCTTTATAGTGTAAACCTTAAAATATAGAAATAGGTTCTTATAAATGACCCTGACTCAGAAAAATTTTTAAATATATATAATTATACAAGTTAAGACATCACTTTAAATCTCACATACTGAACTCCCACTATTATTTTTTCTGACCAAAACTTAATAGAATTAAATAACAAAATCCAATGAAAAATACAGCCATCTCCCAAGACTAAATCTTTCCTATTAGTGCACATTCATCCCTTCAGTGAAGCCTTTTCTAATGCTCCTGGTATACAGTTTCACATTTTCAGTTGCTTTTTGTTAAGAACAGTACTTACAGCATTTACTCCACTTTGGTGAAAATATCCCAAAAAACTAAACTGTACATAAAATAAGGTAGTTTTTCTTTTTAAGCACTAGCATTAAATATCTTTAAATCTCATTTTCGCTTAAAAGAACAGAAGAAAAGCTAACATTTACTGAAGACCTACTATATGTATTTGTACAAAATGAATCAAATTGGATTGTGTCATTGGATCTTAACAATCCTAAGAGGTCAGTATTATTTCCATTTTATAGCCAAAAAACACTTGTGTTCCAGGTACATGCTAAAGCTAAGGTTCAAACTGAATTCTTATTTCAAAGCATACACCTCTTAGAAACATTTGGCCACTCTTAACAATATTATATTTAGGATAATAATATCTTAAGACTTAAAATACTATAAAAGAGGCATAGTCATTCTCCCATGCAAACTGAAATGATCTGAATCACGTATCTGGGGCCCCCTCAAGCTTTTCTGTAATTGTAAATTACCCTCAGAGTAATTCTGAGTGATTTGTTTTTTTAATTGTAAATTGCCCTCAGAGATAGGATTATCAGTCTCATTTTGAGGCACAAAAATAATGAGTAACTTGGCCTAGGCTATAGGGCCAGTGTGTAAAAGAGGTGGGATTTGAACCCAAGGCTATCTTGACACCAAAATCTGTGCTTTTAACCACTATGCTACACTGTTTCTGCATTAATTTCAGAAACAAAATCCTATTAAGATTTTTTAAAATAAGAAACCCATACTATCTATGTACAGGTGCTGGAGAAAAAGCAAATTTCTTCTATACTATGTATTATCCTTGTCATCTGAGCTAATAATTTTTATAAGATTAACAGGAAAATCCAAGTGGAAAAGTCTTGCTTTATTTGGACAGTAGTTCCCCAAAAGAAAGTTTAATTCAGGCATGTCTAATTTTCAAATATAGAAACTCTAAGCTAACTCCAGGGGGCAGAAAACTATCTTTAAATCTTTAACTTCAATTAATTATAATGGCGGTAATTACTCTTAAAATTCTACCCAAGTCTATGTTTCTATTGTATGAGTTTGCAAATGCAACTTTCGCTTTCAAAGCAAACTTCTTCAGGCTGCCCCCAAATTACCTAATATTTTTTTTTCATCTATCACTTTAGTTTAGATGTATTCTACAGTGGCATATAAATCAGACTTTACAAGTAAATCTGAGATTGTCTGAATTTTAACTTAATTCATTTTTTTTACAGATTTTTTTTATTACAAAAGTAATAAATGAATATACAGATGAGGGAAAAAGTCTTTTTTCAGGGTCTTGAACACCCAGAGATAATCACTATTCACACACTGTCATTTCTCCTCCTAGTACTGTGTTAGCAAAAGGGCACAATGAAATAATTTTTAATCTACTAGCAAGTTCAAAGGGAAGAATCTTATAGGGTCCTTTTTTAAAAATTTATTTATTTATTTTTGGCTGAGTTGGGTCTTTGTTGCTGTGCACAGGCTTTCTCTAGTTGCGGCGAGTGGGGGCTACTCTTCGTTGCGGTGTGCAGGCTTCTCATTGCAGTGGCTTCTCTTGTTGCAAAGGACAGGCTCTAGGCGTGTGGGCTTCAGTAGTTGCAGCACGTGGGCTCAGTAGTTGTGGCTCACGGGCTCTAGAGCACAGGCTCAGTAGTTGTGGCACACGGGCTTAGTTGCTCCGCGGCATGTGGGATCTTCCCGGACCAGGGCTCGAACCCGTGTTCCCTGCATTGGCAGGCGGATTCTTAACCACTGCACCACCAGGGAAGCCCTAGGGTCTCTTCTTAATGACAAGACTACCCTGTAATGAAATGATACTCTCACTATCAAAGAATTTACTTTTTTTGGTACTTTTCTGGGTACACATATCCCTTGCTCACTGCCTATGAAACTACAATTGTATACCTCAAAACAGGAAGTTACGTATAACTGAAAGTTGGGAGGAAAAATATCCTTGTTATTGAACATCTTTTTGAATACACTGTTTAACCCTCCTATCGAGTATATTTTGAGTTAGCACAGGAAATAATTAAATCATTTTTTGACCTTGGAGGATCTTGCAGTGCCTGAAAATCATTTTGAACACCACTGGAAAATGTTAAGATGTGGGTTATATAAAGCAGAGGTGGCTCTGCACCAGCTCCAAGACATACCCTGCCGACTGCATACTGAATAATCCTTGTTATTACTGTGTTTCGTTAGGTGCTTCTTTCTCCTAAAAGAAAACACAAAAAAGATTTTAGTTTAGTTCTACTTAACTTTGCTTAAAGTTAAAATATAAACCCTCAGGCTGGATCCAGACGAACATATAAAAATGGTAAATTTGTCTTCCATGACCCAGTCTCCCATTTTCTCTCCTCTATGGATTGCAACCCGTTCAAGGAATCTTTAATCAACAGGAATGTCACAGTGAACAGATACATGGAGACTCGTCCAGGTAGGCAGGTCAGAAGGATTACTGCACTGGTAGAAGGAGGAAATTATAATAACGAACAACAGTAAAGTCGCCATTTTTAAATGCCTCTTGGGTAACGAGCACGAATCCTCACTGCACCGAATCCTCACTAGGAGCCTGCAAGGTAGGTACAAGGAGGCTCAACCTGCCCTGTAAGCAGCAGTCTGCAGCTCCTAGCCTGCTCAGCCTGGCTTGGGAGCCCCACTTGCCTGCAGGATGCCCTCTGGCCTCATGAAACCCCCACTCCAACAGCCAAGGAGGGCAACCTTCCCAACACACCATCCTCTAGCAGGGCAGCAGAAATCAACACAAGCACCAGAGAACACACAACACAAAACACCTTTGCATGGAGGCTTTCCATCTGATAGTAAAAAAGAAACTTTATGAACAAAGAGAACGTGAGAGGATCACTGATATCTAAGTTCACGGCACAGTGAGGGAATACTGACTGACTGAGGCAGCCTTGCAGGCCTTTCCTCAATGCTGAAATATCAAACAAAGTTCCAAACATTCAAACTACGCCAAGGCACTTTACACAATACACCACACAGGTGAGTTCGTCCAGGTAAGCATTAAACTCAAGCTCACAGGAGCTTGGGGGAAAGGGAGTACAAAGAGGTGGGGGAAAGCAGGAAAGGGAAAAGAAAGAAGGAAAGGTGGATGTGAAACCAAGTTTATTTCTGGGAATGAGGGGATGAAAAGAGATGGAGACACTGCTACCACACAGACGAGGCCAGCAAAGCCGTGGGCACAGGCCCACTTCTAGTGAGAAGTGAACCCTGGGATGCCTATCTGGTCCTTCAGCTCCAAGTGGGATACAGTAGCTCCTCCCATTACCCATGCCTGCTTCTCTCTTTCCAACAGCCAGTTTCACCCACAGTCTCTCTGGCCAAGCAATGCGATGGTCCCTCATGGCTGAGGACTGGTTCTGAAGGCCAATGACTGGATCTGAATCCCAGCTCACCAGCCACAAGTCACTGGACCTGAGCAAAACCTGATCTCTCTGTACCATCAGTTTCCTCATTAGAAAATGTCAGTAGCAAGAGCACCTCATAGATTGTGGTGAGGATTAATAAAGGTAGTGATTAAAATAAAGCCTGGCACAGAGTAAGCATTCAGTAAATACTAGCTACCACCACCACTATCATTGTTATACTGATGGTAATCTCCCCTCCCCAAGCAGAAATTCTTTTAGTCTTCCACTCTACTTCAAGAGACTGAATTTACTGAGCTATCGTCTCTCTTCTGTTTTCAGAAATCTTCTACTGCTTAGTTTCCTAAAATGTATTAACTTGGAAATGAGTGCGGATAAAGAAACTAATCTCTAGTTGGGTATCAAAGTCTGATGATTTTTCAATAAAGCATCCCACAAAAATCTAAGTATTTGCTTTTCAAATGATACTACGATGACATTCTATCAAGTCTATCCTTTTTAAAAGGACTAAATATTCCTTTATATTTTTCCTATCGAAGTAACCTATTCTAATAGAAAATATGGAAAATACAAAATAGGAAGTAGAGAGAATAAAGAGGCATCCACAGTCCTATCACACAAGATCAGCACTATTAATGTTTTGGTGGTTTTTCTGCAAATGTTTATATACAGCTTCTTTATTTTGTTTTATAAAGGTGTGATCATTCTATATATAACTTTATATCTTGTATTCTGCTTTTTTCACTTGACCTATTATTTTCCTTTTAGTATTTCTGCTTCAATTATGAAAGAAACATCTATGCAGTGTAAGAAAAAAATACAATCAGAACATATATATTGGCAAAAAGAGAGGAAAGTTTTTTAAAATTATCCATCAGTCTATCCTCTGTGATTATCTCTGTTAACATTTCGGACACAGCCTTCCAAATTATTTTCTATGTATAATACATGCCAGACACAAAGGTTTTAATAAAATGGGATCACACACACATAAATTGGAGGGGTGGGGGGAGCAGTGTAACCATTTTCTAAGTACTTCTCTCCACAAAACAAGTAAAGCACCACAGATTAAAAACAGACAAACAAAAAACACCTATAATTTCATCTAGGATGACCTCTCTTCGGGTTTGAGTATATATTTTTTACACCTATGCTTCTTTACAAAGCTAAGATATTGTATATGAAGTCTTATGACTACTTTTTCCTCTACTATAGGATGAATATTTTTGCATGCACTAAGTTCTTCTAAATCACTATTTTTAATGACTGCATAGCTAAGATGACATCTTTTAAACCAGCAAAAGCACTAAATTAGGCCATTCTAAAGCAGTCTTCTTATTCAGCATGTGCTCACACATGCATATAGCTAGGCAGGACCTAAATGAAACAGGCCATCCAGGAGAGGGTGTTTATAATATGGAAATCCATGTTTGAGAAACAAGTACTAGTATGTGTTGCAAGAACACACCGATGTTCTCCCAGTTTACTAAAGAGAACAGAAGCAACTGAGGCGTGCGGGTGTGGCTGGAGAAGAGGAAGGAAGTGTGGGCGGCCCTACACACATTTTGCAAGCTGCTGAAAACAGTTGTAAAACCAGCCTCTGTTAAACCTACTGTCAAGTCGGAATTCACCCTGTTATTCTTGTCAAAATTCACTTCTGGCTTTTCACTGATATCTTCACCACTGCAGTGTGGTCTGTATATCAAACAAAGGTCTCCAACTCACACCTCTCCCTAGGAGAGGTGAGGAAGAGCACACGGAGCAAACGTGGCTCCGTGGGGATACTCATTATCAACCAGTCCATGGCATGAGAAAGCCGGTCACACAAAGAGCCATGTGCAAAAGTGAGGCTACTTCTATAGCCTCTCTACACTTCGGGATATTACAAATTCCCCCCCAAACCAGACCACGAATATTCAAATACACAAAAACCTCCCAAACAAATTACATGCTTGAAAAAGAGTATCTGTGCCAATACCCTCCCTCCAGTACATACAGCTAAAAGATGAGTTTTTATAAAGCCACGCTAAAACTGCATTTAAGCTTCTTATACATGGAAATTATCTGGTATCTTTTACAAACACCAAAAAAATGAACACTGTTACTCTTACTTAGGGGAAAAAAATGAACACTGTTACTCTTACTTAGGGGAAATATCGGACTAAACGTATGTTTAGAGAAAAGCCAACTTAAGTGAAGGAACTAACACACTCTCCATGAAAATTACTGCCCTGATCTAACTGCTAAAATTTCAAAGATACCTACAACAAAAATGGTACAGGCTGGAAAGAAGACAGTAGACTCAATCCTCCAGGAACATCAACAACCTCCAGATCAAGCTTATTTTTAAACACAACCCCAGTGGCAGTCACCACTGCTGCTCCTTTCATCCAAAGTAAACAACATTCCACATTTCTAGAACAGCACTCCTCCTCCTGGGTGTTAACAATATAAGCTATAAATCAAAGATGAAGAAACCAGGGAATTCCCTGGCGGTCCAGTGGTTAGGACTCTGCGCTTCCACTGCAGGGGGCGCGGGTTCGATCCCTGGTCAGGGAACTAAGAACCCACATGCAGCGGGGCACAGCCAAAAAAGAAATTAAAAAAAAAAAAAGAAGAAGAAACCACAAACAGGTCAACACCTCCCAAGTTACGGAAGAATCCACAGTTCTTCACTGGATTGGCTGAATATTACTATGTGGGTATCAGGTAGTATCAGTCTGTAGCCACTGAATGGAATCAAGATGGAAACTACAAATTAGAAGATTTCAGTCAACCATTTATTGAGAAATGTCCCAATAGACAAAAATGTACCTCCAAATGTCTAATAAAGTATTTTTCAAGGGAAGGTAACTGCCTATTGAAGTATGTTCTGCAAGTTTTCTTCGAGGTAGTCAATTTTAATGGACTCAGGGCCACTGAGGTAACCAGGAATGCCAGGCTGAAAAGCCTGCTCCAGTCTCTTGAGGCAGTGACTGGGTTGCCAACACAGATCTATCACTTAAAGTGCTGGTTTAAGTCATCTTTATTTCCTCTAAGTAAACAAGCTATATTCCAGGACACATCAAGGAATTTTTGAATGAATTCAGGAGTCAGGCAATCCATTAACTGATGGAAAACAGCAGTTAGTATTTGTAGAAAAAAAAATCCAAGCCACAAAACCTGGAGCAGCAGCACAGATAATAAGTTCAAATTCCTAAACAGAATTGCCTCTCATTAAAGTGATGAAAAATGTTAATAAGCAGGCTTCCCTGCTGGCGCAGTGGTTGAGAGTCCGCCTGCCGATGCAGAGGAGTGGGTTCGTGCCCCGGTCCGGGAAGATCCCACGTGCCGCGGAGCGGCTGGGCCCGTGAGCCATGGCCGCTGAGCCTGCGCATCCGGAGCCTGTGCTCCGCAACGGGAGAGGCCACAACAGTGAGAGGCCCGCGTACCGCCAAAAAAACCCAAAAAAGTTAATAAGCATGTCACCACTTCTACCTGATGGTAAAGTGAGATTTAAAAAATTAGTATGGTGACAGCCCTGGTATAAAGTGCCCACATAATAAATAATGACCTAAGCACAAGTTGGTATGTAGAAATTACTCCAAAATAAATAAAGCCAACCCACAATTACTCCTTTGCCAGGAAAACAGAATATAAATTGGAAGTTATGGAGAATTTAAAAACTTAATAATCTAAATCTCTCTTCCAAAGCTTTTATTAATACTGTCAAAACTCACTTTAACTCCCTATCGTCTTTTCATCCCCCGCACTGATATTGTGACAAAGATGGTCATGAAAAAGTGGTCAAAAAAGAATGCTGGAAAAGAAGAAAAATAAATTGATC